CAGCAGATCGTCTGCTTTTATTTAGTTTCAAAATGCATACAAGTATGATAATAAACTAATTAGGATTATAAGACCAAATATAAAGACGTACATGGACTAGTATCTACATACTGGTGAGTGCACGTTAACCACGTGAATGTAGCAAGAAATTTATCGCGCAGTATTGTCACTTCGACTCCCCACCTCGCTTCCGTGGAAGAAATCATTATGTTATAAGTTGTGTCATGCAAAATGCTTTTGGTTATGATTCAAATACATATTGAACTACGAGTAGAAAGTAGTTTTGATTTTCTAACTTGATGAAAACAAACCATATTCTCATTAATTCTAACAGACTTTTGCCCGTGACTTCATGATTTTCAAAAATGGCGACGACTTTTCGCGAACATCTGCCAGTCTGAGTATAAATGCTATTTAGGTTTGTTTTCACCGAGTTACAAAATCAAAACTACTTTCTCAGTGTTCACGAATGGTGTTTCAAAGTAACAGGACATTGGTCCTGTAAGTTTCAGATGTCTGTCTGACCCATTGAAAATTCAAAGGACCCACACAATAAAATTAAACACACATTTCAGATTTAACAACTTTTATAATAGGCATTGAAATTATTAACAAACATAAGATTTATTAACAGGAAACAAGTGTTACATGCCACTTATAACAACTTCAGTCAAAGTCATTGTGAAACATACAGTCAGACATTAGGGCCGGCGGACTGTAGACTTCTATCGGACCATTGGTGAATCTGCCGGATTTGTCAGAGGGTCAGGCGCTATTCGTGAACACTGCTTTCTACTGGTAGTTAAATATGTATTTGATTGATGTCCAATAGGATTTTGCATGACATAGCGTATAACATAACAATTTCTCTCGTGGAAGCGAGGTGGGTGTCAATATAATACTACTTACAGAATTATTGTTACTTCGACCACAACCTCGCTTCTGAGGCAGAAATCGTTATGTTACAAGTTGTGTCATAGAAAATCTTTATGGTCATCAAGATTTTCCATGACACATATTTTACTACGACTAGTAAGTAGTTTTGATTCTTTAACTTCCGTGAAGCGATCTGAACACAAGTAAGATATCGTTTCAGGCTTCCACAACGCTCGCTTCGCACTCACAAACATTACCCATTTTGCACGAACTGCGGGGTCCTGTGGAAATCTGTGCATGGCGACACCATCGCCCGACCTCTAGGAGCAATTGACGACAACGCAACGATTTGGCGTGTCTTTGTTGATGTCGAGAAATCATCAAAATGACGAGCTTGCTACACACTTTCTATACAACTAACTGAAAATCCTTCCTCATATGACGTCACTGCAGTGCTCTGGCGACAGAGTTACGTAACCTGTCTGTGGTTTCGTTGGCGGGCGAGAGTGAAGCAGGCGACTTTTTGGCAACTTTTAATCGCTCGGTACTAATTAACCACAAGTTTTTAAAGAATGAAATTGGTGTTCCGCATAAGACTGACCACAAATCTTTCATATGTAATAGTTAAAAGAGTAAAAAAAAACAAAGTTTATTTGTTCTTTAAGAGCTGCTCATGTGTGTCTCACATTGTTCAAGTTTACAGAGGTCACCCCTGTCTAAGCTACTATAAGCAAGATGGACAAGTCTTGTGTACTGCCTCCTGCAGGAGAGTAGCACATGTATGTAATCACTGCATCGGATCTGAACAAAAATAAGTAAGCGTATACATGGAATAATAAAGCCCTCCATGTAAGATGTGCCAAAATTATATATCTAAAAAGGTACATTAATGTACATTTGTACACAAGCAACACAACATTACCAGGACTAATGGGGAAATTAATTGTTTCCATGCATTAACTATGTATTTCTGCTCTGACTGTGACACACTTTAACTACACAAAGTGGCACAACACATAGTGTGTCAGGTATCTTCATTACGTGGAACAACTGCTTGGTGGGTTATGTGATACTACCAATCAAAACAACCTAGCAGGGGAGTGGTGATGTGAGGTAACCATGGCAACTAATTGGTCAAACTAAGTCATGCAGCGAATAACCTTGTGTAGGACTTAAGGAGACATGAAGCTTGGATCTGTAAACAAACAGTGCCAGTAAACACAGTCGTCACGGGTGACGAGATATCAGGGAGGACAGGGAGATGTACAACTACAGCAAGTGTTCTTTACTCTCAAAATACGAAGTTTTTACTTAGAATGGCTAACATATTTAAAATTGGATCAAAAAAACAAATCAGTGAGTGAGTGAGTGGGTATGGATTTACACAACTTCAATCAATAGTCCAACAAAACCGAAGTAGAGGAGACCAGAAATGGGATTCACACATTGTATCCATGTGGGGAATCGAACCAAGGTATTGCCGCATGAAACTGAACCATGATTTATTTCAAAGTGTAAAGTTTAACTTCATGAAGCCAGGGACATGTAACCATGGTAACCAAAGACCATTGCAACACCTATTCTGTAAGAGTGGCACTGCCAAGTTACGCAGTAATGGGGAGGAGGGTCCTGAAGGAGGCCTAACAACATTACATGCTTCGATACTGATGGCTAAAGACCCACTACATAAACCCACATTGCGCTGTCAAGTTCGAACTAAAAAGTGGGATGACAAACCTGCTCAAAAACAGTTAGTTGGATTACCAATGCTGACATCATCATTCTACACAATTCTGTCACTTGCACAGCAAACTTCTGATGCTCAGTACTGCTTACTTGTTTAACACCAAAATTATCAATATTCCAGAACGTCCCAGCATTCCAATACTCCGATATTCAATTCAGCACTCAGCAGTATATCAGACAATCTCGTGATTAATATTGTGAGCAATGACCCACACTGTCAGGATCAACCAATTGAACAAACATGTTCAATGCAACCCACAACGTTGCCCCTGACAACCAGCATAGTTTGCTGGTGATCGGTTCCATCCTGGAATCCCCAGGGGGGAGACAACCCAATAATGGCAATCAGGTCTGGGATTGAAGTTATCATTTTACTAATACTAGTGACAATCATGATAAAAGGCATAATGCATTCATTTTCATATTTTCGTAACTTTTACAGGAAATTCTTCTATTTGAAGATTAAAGGGTCCCTTGATCCAAATACCACTGCAAAACAGAAGCCCAAGGATCCCCACTGCTGACTGACTGAGTTTGTTTGATGCTCTTTCACCATTATTGTTGCAGTTGCAATATCAAGGAGAGCAACACCAGAAATGGGCTTCACACATTGCACCGATGTGGGGATTGCGGTGTGATGAGCAAGCACTTTAACTCCTTTGAGTGGCATTTAGAATTTGGAAAGTATAATATTGACAAACTTTATTGATAACAACTTCTTTTATTTTGTGAGTGTGACATTTCGATACACGATACAGATTCTTGTACCACTGGCAGGCAGGGATTGTATTGAAATATTGTACTCATGAAATAAAAGAAGTTGTTATCCACAAAGTGTTTCAACAAAGTGAACACATAAGCCACATTGGTATCTCATCACAACCTGAATTTTGAACACTGCATAATGGCAAATGAACAGTGTCACACAGTGTCTTGAACAAATTCATAGATTAAGCATGGTAAGTACTGATAATATATACTCTCATACATAAACACAGAGAAATAATAAACAAATGCACGTTAACAGGGTCAGACACCTTCTGTCTCATACAACTGGACAAGTGGCTTATGTCACTAAATGTACAACATAATTAGAATTTTGGAGAACACATCTAGTCCAGCTGGATTTTCACTGGTCTTATTTTCTGATTAGTGGCCATGTCTAACCCTGGGGAAATATGTTATCACTGCACAAATTCTATTTATATCATGGACCAAGTTTGTAACCCCACTTCAACATGTTCAATAGCAATACGTGTCAAATACAGCAATACAGCTGATACTCCCTGTTCATGGCTGGGAGAGTTTATCTGCATGTTTTGTTAGGTCGCTATCAGCAATGATCAATGAGTCACATGATCAATAAGCAATATGGCTTGGTTGACACTAGTCCTGGAAGTAAACAAAGGTCTTGTCACATTTATTTGGGCCCAGTAGTCAGCTTAGCTACCTGGTAGTAACAGTCTGAATTGGTGCAATAAAGTCTTGTGGACTAAAAAAATATTTTTCTACATGACAAAAGACCACTGGGCTACCATCTTTTGTTGTTGTAATAACATCCCAGTCTGGCTATTACTATAATAGACATGAATAAATAATTAATAGTTTCTTCATCAGTTGAACAAATAAAGCATAACTGTTGCGTCAATATCATATACATGTACGATATGAATGATGACATCTTATGAGCAAAGGTTGGAATCAAGTGCAAAACAAATATATTTCAAAAAGTCATCTCTTAAGGAGCTTTTTTCTTCTTAAAAATGGGGCAGTGGGGTAGCCTTGTGGTTGAGGCATTCGCTTGACAGGCCAAAGACCTAGGTTCGATTCCCCACATGGGCACAATGTGTGAAGCCCATTTATGGTGTCCCCTGCTGGAATATTGCTAAAAGCTGTGTAAAACCAAACTCACTCACTTTCTAAAAATCCACCTAGGGTGTCCAGGGTAGTTCTAAGTTTCTACTTGACAAAGCATGGCACCTACACTGGATTCACTCTGGACTGGTGGTAGTAGCAGGATGGTAGTCTGTTCCTTTAAACGTCTTTATTATGCTAATGGTTCTCTTGGGTGTTTAACAAATGTTTAAGTGTCTTAACATATTGACATGACATGTACATCGTGTTTACTGTCTTAGCAAGGGTTAGACAGACAAGCATTCAGTGTGGGTGATGATTACAACTATGAAAGTTGACCAGCTAAGGTGACATCACTGTGACCTACAGAAACCACCAAGTTAGATCCTGCTTCTGTCGAGATAACACGAACAGAAACAGAAACATGAAGATACTATGGAAAAAGATGGACGAGATCACGGAAGTTGGACTGCGATGTTATACCCGTGCGAGAATTTTAGTTTAGAATTATGTCACTTTAGCGTGCATCACACGACACTCACCTATAGCAAGGTAGTCCAGAATCCGGATAGCTCTCAGTGTCCTTGTCATTGTTGACAGATTCAATCAGAACTTCCTACTTCTTCAGCACCTGGCATAGAAGTGAATGTCGGTGTTACCTTACTATATTTAACTGATATTTCTACTATGATCGATCCTTAGTCATACACCCTAACATGTTGCTCTGTTGGTGGACACAGATATTGCCAGTGAGAAAGTTAAAGCTGAACTGTTTTCTGTCGTCTCAATACAATGTCCTGGTTCACGCCACCATCTTGAATTCATTGGAGCGTGACGTCGATGTAGAGTTACGCCCCTTTAAATATCCTGATTACAAGCTCCATCACACCGCGTGTCACGTATTGATTTCTCAAAGTTTTTCTCAGCAGGAGGACGATGGGCGCATTGTCCGAGCTATCAATGTATGGAGCTTTACTAATGTTGGCGCTTTTACTGCCCCTTCAGACAGACTTTGCAAGTCCTCATCCCCTAAATATTGACAATTAATCATTGCTTTTAAGTTTAACTATTTAAACTAAGAAATATAATCATATGGTTTTCGAAATCCACAGTCACGTGGAAAGGAAGCCAAGCCGAATCAGCTAAATCGAATACAATTATAAATCAAAACAAGACAATGCCAATCAAAACAAACAAAAATCACACATTGTGTCTGTTTGTTTACACTGCCATAATACACGTCTGAAAACCAAGTTTCGTACAACGTGGTTATTACAATTCTGGATACGATAATAAATGTGTAAATAACATAATATTAAAGCTTTCATAAACAAAATATGGCCTATAAATATCAGATAATTGTTTTTCTCTTCTGTTTAACAAGTAAAACCATAAACCCATGATTACTATCATCACAGGGAACATTTAGATATAAGGACAAGTTGAGGCATAGGCTATTCTAAAGAGGACATCAGACGATTACTTGACCAAATGCTTCTTCGTGCTTTAACCTGGCACCTATCTTTTCCCGTACTATCAGGCGCGTAGCAATTAAGCCATTTTTTCGTGTAAACCCGGTAGGTTACAAAGCTTCATATTTAGATAATATTGAGGGCTTGCCCAGCCTTTCTAGCAACAATCATGAGCAAGCCCGGGCTTTTTTTAATTATGGTAGCAACGCCCCTGACTGTCCGTTTCAAGGGGTAAATAACGTAACGATTGCATAAAACAGCCAGGATGTGAGAAGAGGAAGAAATATATATCTCTATTGGACTTCAATTGTGTGTGTTTGTGTGAAATTGAGAGAGAGAAGTGTGTGTGAGTGCGTTCTTGCGTGCGTGGAAGTGTTTGCGCGCTTATATGTGCGTGCGTGTGCGCGTCTGCGCGGAGTATGCAAGAGTACGACGAGGGATATCAAAACAACGTAAAAACCCTACTGAGTCATGCCCAAATAGCCTCAACTAGATTATATTAGTCGGAGTTGAAAATTCATACACTTAATTGGTGGGTACTATTTTAACCATTTGGCGTGTTCACCATATAGGGCTATCTAATCCACCAACAAACTCCCTGCCTGATGAGGTTACAGTCATTTCCAATTTATTTTCTCACAAAGAGTCATATATCAGAACAAAGATTGAACCAATGTTGAATTTCTTTAAGATGTAACTTACAAAGAAGTGCAAACGAATACCAGTTGTAACTACAGCCAGTGAAATACATCTGAATATTCTCTACCTTCTAAACGACTTCACCCTGTCATGTCGACGAATTATGGAAACTAATACAACGGTGGAATTAATAACTTCTGGAAGAAATTGTATAAAGGGAGGTAATCATTACGAGCTGTCAAACAGCTGTTGTCATGTTGCAAGTTACTGGCGGTTTCCCCAGCGCGAATGATGCGAGAACTTGGACTCGTCCGTGAGCCACGAGATGCACGCAGATGTCAACCGGCAAATTATCGTCTGCTCGCCAGTCGTCAGGACAATTATGATGTGTGGACACGATACACTGGAGGACTGGGTCTGAACGCCAGTCTTGAGTAATGTCTGCGAGAGATTCCTGCAAATGTGTGCCACAACCATTATCTCAGCTGAGCGCTGTCTGCATAATTTATGCAAGGGGCCTAGTTCTGCGAAAGAAGGTATTTGTTAGAATGCTGCATTTGGAATTTTATAGCCGTGAATTTTTCTCTGATGGATTTGTAAGCAAACGACGTTCGATAGGGAGTATGCCGAATTTCAACCAGTGCCCGTTGGATAACAATAATATCCTCAAAAGCGGAATGTGTTGAAGTCGTGATGCGATTCGGTGTCTTTTATTGAGTGGGAGCGATTTCAGCTACGGTTCATGATGTCTGAAGTGGGTCAGGAATAATTTAACCAGCTTTAAACGGTAAAGGATGTCTGTGATTTCTTTTTGACTTATGTCTTGTATTGCGCCATAGACCAACTATCCAACAACTATTCACCTGGATGTAAAATTGGTCCTTGTCGTTCGCGGTACCAAGAGCTGAGGCAGCCAGGGTTATGGTCTAAGCCCTTGATTGTTTCTGAATTTCTTATGCAAATGATTCATTATAATTTCGAGGTGCTCTTGCAGTATCAACAACAAATGTTTAGTTTAGTTGTATGCACATTTTAAAACATGTTTCAGAAGTACAGTCAGGAATACTTTAAAAGAATAATATATTAATAATATTCTTGAGGTAATTGAGGCCTTGATTAGGCTGTCAAAATGATGGGAAAAACCCCCAATTAAACGATTAATACTTTTGTTTCCTATCTCAGGATAATCACATCTTGGTCTATGGTGATATGTATCATCTTTCACAAATAAATTAGGTTGGGGTGGGAGTTCTGTGGAAAGGATATACTTGTATGCTGGCCAGTCCATTTATTAATTGACAAACAATTTCAAACACCTTCGGAAAACTGCAATTATTTCTTCATCCCAGTACTTAACTGTTTTTAAGTTTTGCTATAGTTTCCAAAATGTTTTTGTCAACTGAAACCCACTACAGTTTGCTATTAATTATCTCATGAATCCATATAAATTTCTGCGGAGAATAAGTGTTCAACTATTCTGATTCCATCAACACATTTAGTGCTATTCTTAAGACATCAGCCAAGAAATATAAATACTGATTTGTTTTTGTGAAAGGCTCTATGACTAAATAAGATGACACATAGATGATCCCTGACTATCAAAGTAATGTGAGATTACTTGCAATTACAGCTAACAAGGATTTCCGTAGCACATGTATTCCAAATTACATGCCCTTTGTTGGCAAACTGGCAAAAATCTCAATTTTGCTTCGATTGGTGATATTTTTTGTTTCTTATTTTCTTAAATTTTGAGGTATATTAGAATTACTCATTCATATGAATCCAATGTGGTTAAACTAAGGGCTAAGGCCTCTTTCTCATGTGACCAAGTTATCAGTGAATATAAGTTACGTGTGTTATTGCCATCTGAATAATTGCGACTGCTGTAACAGGATTTTTGAAATTATTAATTACAACTTTGGACATTGAACAGAAATCTGCTGGGAAACACTTCTGAAATAAATAAATAAATAAATAAATAAATAAATAAATAAATAAATAAATAAATAAATAAATAAATAAATAAATAAATAAATAAATAAATAAATAAATAAATAAATAAATAAATAAATAAATAAATAAATAAATGTTTTGCCTCATTGTAAAAGTTAAGGGGGGATAAGTCTTTCCATCTGCTGCTGGGTCTCAATATTGGCATCTGTGCAGTTGCCGACAAATCCCAAGAACAAATTTAGCCCTGCAGGAGATTACCTTGTGGGTATGTATGTTACTTAACAGGTCCCCATGATATGATGATGGTTGTAAGAGTGGCCAAATGGATCGGCAGGTTAGGCTCTGTGGCTGTGTTGATAACATATTGTATCTAGACACTCGTGGAGATCTGGGTTAGAATTGGTCTTCAGCAACATGCTTGTCCAAGGAGCTGACTAACGGGATCGGGTGGTCATGCTTGCTGACTTGGCTGACACATGTCATCGTATCCCAAATGTGTAGATCAATGCCTATGCTGTTCATCACTGGATTGTCTGGTCCAGATTTGATTATTTACAGACTGCCGCCATATAGCTGGAATATTGCTGAGTGCAGCGTTAAACAACAAGCAAACCAAACCAAATATTGTCAATTATCGGTGTATCAGTCACTGGATTGTCTGGCCCATTTTCAGATATTTACATTCTTGTTTTCTTAAAGCTAGAATAATGCTGAGTGTGGCTAAAGAAACGTACTTCAGTGTCTGCTTGATATGGAAGCAGAGAGATACTTTTCAGATAGGTTTTAAATGATAAAGTAAAAAAATCAAATCCTGTTTGTTTGTGCATTAAGTCATCAAACTATGCCAGTGTTTGAACATATGACCAAAGGCAAATTGTGTGGTGATGTTTGAAAAACAGAGACAATCAGTCAGATATGGAATTATATAACATGGAAAGAGTGTCTGGTATGGTAAATGATCAGTTCATAGGGTGAGTACATGCAGTGCAGAGAAGCCATGTCACAGGTGGGGCTTCACAGAAACAGGTTCACTGTCAGTAGCGAGTATGTCTGACTTGTACATAGATGGAGGCCTGACACCTTCACCTCATCAAGGCTGCTAACTGTTAAGGAAAGAGGTGGAAAAAACATTCCATATCTGAGGACTGGCTTCAGCAATGATGTTGAGGTTTCGGAAGACATCGTAGTAGTTCAATTCTGTTTCATCTCGACATCTTCGATTGGTGACAGTTTAATTGAACCTTGCAGGCCATGATGTTGAAGGCTGTAAGTAATACTTAGTGTTCCTGTGGATGTTAACTTGCAGTGCGACATTGCGCTGAAGCTTTTCTATGGTTTACTATCTGTCAGTTCCAATTCGGCATGGCATGGTTGATTCTCATGAAGCAGATCAAAAGTTGTGGTTTCCTGAACTCTGCAGTTCAGAATACTATGAGTGACAGTGATATGTGATTAAATAGGAGGCATTTTTTATGAAACATATGATGCAAATTTTCCAAAATACCTGATAAAAGGCCAGTGACATTTGGTAACAGTTGGTTGTGTCTTTTCAAGCTTTGTCATAAACAAACCCAGAAATCCATGTAAAGGTTTGTAAGTGAAAATATCCACACACAGTAACTGTGGGCTTTGAGTTTAGATTATACTCACATTACCAGTGTGGTGTCAATGTGATTGTCAAGGATTTTGTTGGAATCTTCAGAATTGACATGTACTATAGCTTATGTGAAAACTGACTTGTATTGTGTTGGAAACCCTGTCAGCTCAGACACTGTAATTGAGGTTCATCAAGTTTCAAGTTCAACAAATCACGGATGTAGGCATAATATTCCCTGTTGCCAACAATAATTCTACCATGATGCTGAAGAGCTAAAACAGGAATATCATCAAATAGCATTTGATACCTCTAAATTAATAAGCATTTTCACACAGAAAATATGCATGTATATATGCATTGAATGCCTATAAATGTCTGTATCTCTCACTAAAGAGTTTCAAATTTAGATAAACAGTTTTTCAGACTAACTTAAATATAAAAAGACCAGTATGTTTATTTAAGGGTTTATATGTTTGCAAGTGCTCGGGAATCTCTTTATAAATTTTGACTGGTGTCTCTGTGGTATCCACTATGCTAACAAATAAATGCAAGGTGTGAGATCCTTTATGTTAATTAGAGGTCCAATATAATTTATATTTCTGGTCAGGACGGAAAGCCATCACATTTCCCAATTGAATGAAATCAAGATTTCATTGGTATCAGTGTAGACTTACTGTTACTTGTCTCTAGAGGTGAACGGTACGCCCTTACCATGGTACGGTACATATTGCAGTACAAGACCTTTGGTCCGTTTTGGTTCAGTATATGACAACTTACTTCCGGGAAAATAGCGGCCGTCTAGCAAAGAAATGCATAGATTTTGACAAAATGATTCGATTTCTAGACATTTTAGAAAAGGTTTAAAAATGTTAATAAAATGACAGTACGAAAACTGAAAATACTGAATTTTTAGATTGCATTATGGGATACCGAACCGAAGACAAAATACTGCGGTTCTTCTAATACCGTGGTATACTGTTTCACCCTACTTGTCTCCCTGTTGGATCCGGTTCACAACAAGCTCTATTGGTTGAAGGGGCAAAGTAATGGGGGTCAGGTGCGATAATAGCTTGTAATTGTACATGGATGATGTGTGATGTTACTCAGTATCATAGGTTCCCCTGCCCCTAGTCCACACTTAATTATTTATAGGCAACTCTCTCATATAGCTGTAATATTGTTGATTGCGTCATCTGATGATAAAGATGATTAAATGGACAAAGGCGTGATCTTTTTGCAGTCATTTCAAGCAAATGTATAACCACATGTTGATACCATGCCGGCCCATTTTACTTGACATGTCAGGTGAGGTCGGGTCAGGTGAAATGGAGTTAAGGTCACACTGAAGCTATTAAAAGTAATGCTGGACTGTCAAAAACGGGAGGTGGGGTAGCCTAGTGGTTAAAGCGTTTGCTCGTCATGCCGAAGACCCAGGTTCAATTCCCCACAAGGGTACAATGTGTGAAGCCCATTTCTGGTGTCCCTCGCTGTGATATTGCTGGAATATTGCTAAAAGCAGCGTAAACCTGAACTCACTCACCCACTCACTCACTCAAAAACGAATATACTTTAGTATGCAATTAATTATATATAATTAGATCTCGAGCACAGGGACAAGATTGTATCATATTAAATGCTGCATTCAACAATATATCAGACAATCATGTGGTTGATAGTGTGAGCAGCAATTAATGCAGCTGGGCTGGGATGACTTGCTATCAATAATGTCACTGAGTCAGACAACCTGATCATTAGACATGTTTTGATCAACATCGGTTTCTGGGGACCAGTTACAACCAAGTCTCCATATGTTTTGGACAATGAGTGTGACATTTAGCTAGGGGTTCAGACTCTAGATATGGAATTTAACATTATGTGATGGCCCTGCAAGACATGAGGTTTAAAACTCTCTGAGTACTTGTGAGCAATGTCAAATTACAAGTGTCAGTACATGAAACCGTTAAGATGAAAATGATGTTTTGGTATCAAACTTGAAGTGTAACCATTACAGGGAAAACATAACTTCTGTAGCATTTAACATGACACCCTGCTTGCTCAAATATCAATATGATTCATGGTATGTAATATCCAGAAACTCATGAAAAAGAGGAGATTATCAAGAATGTAGCTTTACATACTGGCACTGTATATTTAGAATAATTACCAGTTGCAGAACATGGACAAAGAACATGAAGAGTTGGAGAACTGGTGACTTGGTTACATGTACCTTTATGATAGTGATCTTTCTTTTCAGCAGCATAAAGCTGTTGAAGGTATGAGATGTTTAATTGATGTTGTAATAATTTCAGAAAAAGAAGACATGGCAGTAAGGAGCACCAGTCAGTTGTAAAGCGTCCTGAGCATCATGAAGGTGAAGGTGAAACAGGAGCCCCCTGATGAAGAGCTGTCAGCAATCTTGGACCATGGCATCCAGTTGGCATCAGTTGATGAAGAAGCCGAGGGGCTGATTACTCAACAGATTGAAGAGATACTACCAGATGAGGGTGATGATGATGATGATGACGACGATGAAGACTATGAGGTTGAGGAAGAGGAGGAGGAGGAAACACAAGATTTGCCAAAGAGAAAAATAAAGTGTAGACGCTGTGATTTTAAGGCCAAAACTAAAAAGGAGTTGGACCGCCATGAAGCTCGCCATGCTATCAAGGGCTGGTACCATGAGTGCCAGTATTGCGATTACGTGACTCACATCAGGCAGCGGCTGCAGGAACATGAAGCCAAACACACAAATACCAAACCATTTAAATGTGAGAAATGTGAGTTCAGGACACGATTCAAAGCTGATCTTTACAAACACCGTGCCAAACATTCCACTGTCAAAAGATTCAGCTGCCCTCAATGTGACTTCAGGACAAAATGGTGTCGAAACATCAAGCACCACATGCTCAAACACACAGAGGACAGGCCGCATTCGTGTGACATTTGTGGGTTTAGGTTTAAGCGGCTTCAGGACCTAAAGTATCATCTCTTCAGGCACAATGATCTGAAACCAGTCCAGTGTGATTTGTGTGATTTTAGGTGTAAGACAAACTATGAACTCAAATGTCATCGTCTTAAACATAGCAATGTGAAGAACTTCTCCTGCACCTTTCCAGGCTGTCCCCAGAAAACCAAGACCAAGTCTGATTTGACCAAACATCTGAAGACTCACAATAAAGACAACAGCTTCCTCTGTTCCATATGTGGTAAGGGATTTAACACACTGACAAGTTTAAACAAGCACAAGGATAGACACAGTAATGTCAGGAAATTCAAGTGTGGGCTCTGTGAGAAGTGGTTCAAGAACAAACCATCTCTACGTGCCCATATGAAGGTTCATTCAGGAATAAAACCCTTTCAGTGTGATGTGTGTTTGCGGAATTTCCTCAACAAGTATAACATGCAGAAGCATAAAGAAACACATACGGGGGATCGGCCATATTCATGCCCTATCTGTCCTTATGGTGCAAGAACAAGTGACCATCTCCTTGCTCATATAGGCTCGATGCATGGAGACTCTCATGCCTACTTCTGTGAGCTTTGTCGCAAACCCTTCAAACGTTACAGCCAACTGCAGGTTCATATCAAGAGAATGCACAAGAATGTAAATTCTATTGATAGAAATGATGATGGTAAACTTGACATCAAACTGGAACCGGGACCAGATGGGACTATCACCACTGGCACTGATGTTTTCAGTGTAAAAAAGATTGGAGATTGTCATTTTGAGCCTGAAGTGAAAAGGAAGAGAGGCAGGCCAAGGAAGAATCGACAGCTAGTTCCTGAAGTTGTTCCTATACCTGAACAGGAACCACACAACAATGGACCAGAAAACGTAAAACCAGCCAAAGTCAAACTGGAAGAGGTTGAGTCCGAAGAAACAGTAAAACTGGCAACTTATCAAGATGGCTTCCGACTTCCCCTAGCCACAAGAGGATTCCATTTTAACTTTGACAAGACTGGCAAGAAGCCCAAATCTTGGTTCATGCAACCTGAAAACATGTATGGCAAAGCTGCTGTTAAACAGAGAGCTTATATGGAAAAGAAAGAAAGATTCTTTGACAGGTTGAACAGTGGGCGTATTCAGAGGACCAGGAAGAAGTCTGATGTTGTGTTTAAGACCATGGTAACCAGGAACAGCATCAGAGCCGGTACTCAAAACAGTACAGACAAGTTATCAGAGTCAGATCCTCACAAACTGCTCATTAGTGGTAGAACAAAACTGAAGACAATGAGAAAAATCAGAAGAAGAATTAGAAAGATGAAGGCATGTTTGGAAGGTTCACCGTTTCTGAAATCTCAGTCTGTGCAAACACTGGACAATAACTGCATTGCTGAAGTGAGTGATGGTGCAAGGTCATCCATGGGTGGGTGTTCTGTTGATAGTGATGCAACTTTAGATGAACCTGTGACTCAAGTGAAGGGACCATGCTCTGGAGATGAACTTGTGTCTCTTGTGAAAGAAATACATTCTGAAGATGAGGATGATGTTCCTTTGAGTCAGCTCAAATCAAAGGAGGTGCCAAATGAACAGCTGTGTGTTGAAACTGCTCAACTAACTCCAGGTGCCAAATATGTTTCAAGGTCACAACTTACTAGTGCTACTCAGGCTTCGGGATCTCACATCAAACTGGTGCTAAAGAGGAGGAAGGAAGGAACCTTCAAGGTCACATTGAATACATCAGCTGAAGTGTCAACGTCAAGTGAAGTGGAGACAAGTTCAAATATGATACCAAGTCACGTTTCAGATGTTTACAGTCGAAGTTTGCGAATTCTAGGCAAGTCTTTGCAAACAAAATGTGCTAAAACAAACAAGGCATTGAAATCAAAAGCTGGCATTGTGTCAGGTGACACATCAACCAGATCTGTCAGGACAAGACACAAGTCTGTAATTAATGCTGTAAAACCAAAACCAAGCCAGGTGATTCATGGAAAGAAGAAAACACAGCAGGAAAACAAAACGAATACCGCGAGAGTTTCAAAAGTATTAAAAGGACTTGGACAAACATCTCCAAAGAATACTAAATTAAAAAAGAATGTTGCAAAGTCGGGATCTTCCAAAAATGATATTGAAAAAGCAAAGAAAAAGGAATTAAACCCGAAGGGTGTGAGAAAAGGGACGAAATCCCCGAAACCAAAAAACAAAATTACACAAAAAGGAAAGAAAAAGACATTGATTTGCTCTCTGTGTACTAACACAACCACAAACAAGAAATCCAATCACACGTGTAACAGCTCAGGTATAAATAATCAGTATTCAGCAACACGTAGAAGGTTTCTCCAGACTCAGCCCTATGATGAATTCCCAATCAAGATTGAGCCAGTTGATGATGATTATTCCCCCTGTGAGATGCAGCTTGGGACGAGTCCGGCCTTGGATGACTTGAACCCTGGCACAGTGGTGGTGAAACAAGAAACAGCTGAGATGGTAGCAGGAGAAGACTGTCCTATCACAGACGTCGATGTGAAGATGGAGGAGTGTGAATCTCTGTCTCAATGTAAGTACTTGTATGATGTCAAGCCAGCAGTAGAAGCTAACCCAGCAGGTGCTTCAGGGGAGGCTACTCTGGCAAGAACTTTAGGAGAAGCTAACCAATCAGCAGGGGCTTCAGGAGAGGCAAGCTATGTTGAACACGCTATTGCTTGGGGTTTGAAATTAGACCCACAGGTTAAAACAAATGCATTGGATAGTACCTTGCTTGACCTTTCAACTTCTGTTGGTGTGAAGGACGTTCCTCTTACAAAATCGTATCTTACGAAACATCAAATGTCACAATCTGATGATGTGGCTGTTCCAAAGTGTTTGAAGGTTTGTGAGGCAGCAGGTGATCAGCTGGCTCTACCTATAGATGAAGCTGGTGTAGGAGGTACTGGCTGGCAACAGAGCTGTGAGGTGGACAAATCCAGAAGCATTGAAGAGCCTTTTCTTTCTCAAAGTCAACATACAGCATGTGATGAAGCTACAGACTCACGTAACTTATGCCCAAATGTTTTAAACCAGAGTGTTACAAACTTGAATACCAACAGCTTGTATTTGCTTAAAACCATCAACAAGAGATATCCTGAGAGTGCAGTAGCTTATGCAGAGACAGTCGAAACTCAACCTCTTGATTTAAGTGTTACCAGAGACCATTACTCTGGTGTTACCAAGAAGCTGACCTTCTCGGATAGACTGGTTGATTGTAAAACTTGGAATATGTGTGAGGATCCCAGTGTTCAGGACAGTAATGCCTCCTCTACAAGTACCCCTGTGTTGTTCACTTACACTTTCTAGTCAAACATATTGTTTTGGATAAGGACAGGGATTTTCAAGTGAAGAGTTATCTCCCCTTGCAAGTCAATTGCATTTGACATCGACTTGATTGATACAATTAGAAAACTATTTTAGGGAGTCCAAAGTAACAGAAAAATCTCATATAACCTGCTTGGTTCTGATCCACAGCTTCCCAAGATGCATGTCCCCCGTGGGATTCTCGGCTAGAATGTGTCCAGACCGACCTATGTTAGTTGTAAGAGGCGACTTAATGGATCACATGCTCGGGCTCTGTGCATGCCATCGTAACCTGTTAGGATGGATCCTTGCCCACCATATTGATCACTGGATTATATACAGCTTGCCATCTTACAGCTGGAATATTGCTGACTGAGGCATTCTAACAGATGCTTGGTTTGTAGGATGTTAAAATGTCTATCAACACCCAAACTCACATTTTAATGAGTATTGTATCCTGTTGTATTGACATGCTGCTGTGTGTACATGTTTGTACTCTATGAAAGTGAGATTGCCTCCAGCATGGGGTTGTATTGTGCTTGATGGTGACTGATCTAATGGTGATTGATCTAATGGTGATGATTGATCTAATGGATCAGGTACACAGTGGGTGTGTTGCATTACATAGTGCTTTATTTGTCACCCTAAACATTTCTGGCTCACAAGACCTTTCTTCTGAGAAGTCTTCACATGAAAATATAGTAAACACAGGTATGTCCAGACAAATCGACTTCAATGTTTATCATGTTTATATATTTAGGACCATGTTATTTGCTGACACCACTTTCAAATAATTTTTGTGAAATAAGAATGATCAAGAAACTATGCTACTTCCTTGACATAATGTTCCTTCATCACCTGTCAGTGGTGATGCTCTTCTCTGTTGTGTAGTGTGGATGTCAGTGTTAAGGCTGCTGTTGTCATTAGGCTCTGTCCCACATTAGCCCTGCTAGAGACGAATTGCGAACAATACCTCTGAACAGGGATTAAAGGACATAAGTCCCAATCCTATATGCATAATGATTGTGAAAACGAAATTGGTATGTGAGTTTATGAGTGAATGCTGCTGTTTCATAATTTGCTACCATTTAAAATAGGTTTCCTGAAAAACTTTAAAAATACAACACACTATGGAAAGTTTCGTGACCGTCTAGGGCTTGCAGTACTTCTACTTCTACTTTTAATGCACATCTACTTTTAACTAACGGCAGCGTTTAAAATTCCTGCCTGTCCGACTGTCCAGAATGGTCTATATTCATCTCGGACAGTCAAATTTCAAAAGTAGCCTGTCCGGTGGTCTGTTAGATATTTTATAATATCAGACAGGTTCTCTTGTCATCAGTTTGAGGTGTTTAAGGTATAGTGATAATTATGTTAAACAACTTACGATTGGACTTTCAGTTTATTGTTGAAAAGCGGACAGGCAAGTTTGTATCCGGACTGGTAATTTTAAAAAGATTAACAGTCCGGGTGTCTGGCTTGGAATTTTGGGAGTTTTAAACACTGCTAACAGCCTCAGTTTGTTCTCAGGGAACTCTATTTTGTAGCATGGGAAAAACCCTTTCACCTGGGTCACCCTACAAGTGTTGGCTTTGATTCCCCTGGACCCCAAAATATATAACCCAGGTAAATGTCTGCTCTGAGGCAGTGTGTAGAGCAGGCAACACACACCTATGGCTCACAAGTTCAAGAAAGACTTTGAACAGAGCTCTGAGCTGATTGGTCAGAGAACATGGAGGTCTCCTTCTGGCTGGAGCCAGGCCTTGGCTTGATTGGCTAACTACTGACCATACTGGAAAGTGGGATACATATTCATAAGTGATTGAGGAACGTTATCTGCACTGAATACTGATCATGAAGTATATATTGGATTATGTTCAAAGGCAAGACAGTATTAAACAGGAGCTGCTGTGATTTAGTTACAATGAGTATTTTTTTGTCATTTTACAACCACAGTATTGTTTGCTTGTATCGTTGTTCAAAGTTTGTTGTAACCATGGAAACAAGTCATCTTATTTTCTCAGGTTGACATGGTAACAGATTATCAGTGTATTAAGTTGATGGCAGTGAGTTTATACTTTTGTTTTTCATATGTTGGTGTCTTTTCCACATTTTGTGTCATGTTGACAACCATATTGTTTGTATGTATGTAAGTTTTGACACTTGTTAAACGTTTATTGCCTACTTCTTGAAGGAACATGAAATCTGTTACCCTTTATGCCGTATTAAGAGATCAGCACCCAGACCATCTTCTGGAACACTCTGCGTGTTATTTTGAAATGTGTGTGTCTTAGCCTGAAGATTCTATATAATATACTGTTATTCCAGCTGTGTAGAACAGGAGCATCATACACACACACATCAAATCCCGTCTTTGTCCAACATTGGACTTAACAGTTTGTTTTCTGTCGATCTCCATCAAATTAGTTTGTGATTAGTTTAAATAAGCTCCCCCTTATATATACATACCTGAGTCCAAGGTGCTTTTAATATGGTGAATATGGTAACTGAAGACAATAATTTCCACAAGAGTGTATGAATTACACTTTCTGTTAATGAATTATGAAACACAATAAGTTCCATTTCCGTTATTTTCAAAATGGCATCTGCAAGTCAGACACACTTCATGGCCTCCTCAATGTCACAAACAGAACTCCACCAAAACATGGAGATGAACGTATCAGCCATGCCATATCAAATATTATGTTACGTTTGATGGCATGCTGTAATTTGTATATACAGGCTGTTTGCTTTTTTCTATGTTTTATATGAAGTATAGATCTGCTCAAAGAAGACAATCTATGTTTTGCTGCATGAAATAATATGGAGGACATTTCTAGTGGTTGATGATAGGTCCAGTACAAGTGCGTGACAACTTGCTCAATTGTGTGAATGATTTTGTCTCATTATATTCCTGATTCAGACAGAAAATGTTAAGAAATTACCACTCAAAACTAAGTTGAGGAATATATGAAGAAATCAAGAGTTCTTTGTTTTTTTGAAAGTCTCCAAGTTCTCTGTTGATTGTGAGCGACAGCCAGCCCCTGTGTCCTTCCTTCTGTATGAGCTATGTGGAAGAGATGCATGTTCCTTATTGTCGTGATATCATGGCTCTGTTCGCTGGATAGAAACCCGTTTTACTGATATTTGTAATGTGTATGTGTGAACAACGATAAATGAAATCAGATTACCAAGTCAGACTTGTGAAACAGTGACTGAGGTTAAAAGAGAAATTTATCTCTGTATTCTGTGAAAACTGAGTTTAAATTGAGGGACTAAATCAAAGGAAATAACTAGTGGTGGTCCGATTAATTGAAATAATAGAAGACTGGTCGCAGTGACTTAACGACCAAGCAATCAATCAATCATGTTTTCTCATAATCAAACACAAACTATTCTGGAACACTTGTTTTCATTAACAATATTTTTCACAAGGTTGGTTTTGTCTGTTACATTTCATCAGCACTCCAAGCTCGTTCCAAGTCATGATTGAATTTATCTTAAAGACTCAAAGAAATTTATGTTCCTAACATACTAGTCATCCTTTAACGATGTGAAATTTCGCCCCCCCCCCCCAAATACTACGTTTTTTCCCCTTATTTTTTGTGTGCATTAACAAATTTCATAAATGACACAAACCAATTATTTTCGATCATTGATTGGTTGTTATGAAGCAGTCATCAATTATGAGATTTTAACTAATTCCCAACACTAGAAATAACCAGTCTATTTTGTTGTTTAGTCCATTCAGAGCAGTGTCACTGATATGACAAGAAAAGATTCACCCATGTGTTCAATCTGTCTTCTAAAAGGAAACTGTAGATTCCACAGGAGTCGCGGGTGTTTGAGATGAACTATAAGAAACCCTGTTTGGATTGAGTGACAAATTACCTAACAAGGCTCTTTGATTGTATGTCATGTATCAGCTGTTATGTATCTCTGGTCAACTGTTCATGCCAAATTCTTACTTTGCCAAAAATGTGTTCATAAGAGCTTGTGACCTATCAGTGATTTGTACACAAGGGCAGACAACTCTAAACTTGTTTGATGGGTTACAACATGGACACTTAATGTCTTAGTTACTTGTCATCACAGATGGTATATACAGGGTGGGATACATACTGTATCTCACTTCACCTAGGGTGGGATACATACTGTATCTCCCGTCATACAGGGTGGGATACACACTGTATCTCACTTCACCTAGGGTGGGATACACACTGTATCTCCCGTCATACAGGGTGGGATACATACTGTATCTCACTTCACCTAGGGTGGGATACACACTGTATCTCACTTCACCTAGGGTGGGATACACACTGTATCTCCCGTCATACAGGGTGGGATACACACTGTATCTCACTTCACCTAGGGTGGGATACACACTGTATCTCACTTCACCTAGGGTGGGATACATACTGTATCTCCCGTCATACAGGGTGGGATACATACTGTATCTCACTTCACAGAGGGTGGGATACACACTGTATCTCCCGTCATACAGGGTGGGATACATACTGTATCTCACTTCACCTAGGGTGGGATACATACTGTATCTCCCGTCATACAGGGTGGGATACACACTGTATCTCACTCCATACAGGGTGGGATACACACTGTATCTTGTGTTACACTGGGTGGGATACACACTGTGTCTCACATCACACAGGTTGATACACACTGTATCAGACTGTGGTCTTCTCATATATCTCAGTACCTCAAACAAACCCAGCAAGTTCCTTCAAGTATATCCGTATGGCGTTGTGAATACTCATCCGGGAGACCGGAGAAATATTTGCTGTCAATGTGTTAACTGTGCTCTTGTTTAAAAGTATAACTCTCTGTTGAGAAATCAGTATTATGCCAAGTTTTGATGGATAGTATTCCGAGTTGATGAATTGTTATGTTGTTTCAGTTTACAGTTTTGTGAAATTTATTGATGTAATCGTCAGTATTGTTTCATTTGTTGTTTATTATTAAAAGCTTAAGTTTTTCTTTGATTGTTTTCTGTTTTTATTCTGTAGGATATTCTTGGATCATGAATCCTTGAGCATGAAATGAAATGTTCCAGGAAGTCACTGTTGAAATGAACTTCACTTTCAGGCCAGGCAACATGAATGGGTGCACTGAGAGTATAGCAGTAAAATAAAAACTAATGTTTACTTGGTCTCCTCGGTTGACGATGTCAGCAGCAATGTCCTGAGATCTTTGAAGGTATAAGTGCTATCATTTCTGTGATTTATGAAAGTAAAAGAGTCCTCACTGAAGTATTTTGTGTAAATCTTCCTCACTGGCCAATATGTGGCAGTTGGAATGTATGGTACTATCAACTGTATTTCAGGGATATGGCATGTTGGCGTATTGAGGGAGCAAAACTTTGTTTTTGGAATGGACCTCATGATGGTAACTCCATTCATCACTTTACTCAGTTTCTGGAGTAGTCTGATTTGAAATATGTGGAAAAGCTGTCAAATCAGACTCAAAACAATGGTACGGTGGAATGTGGGTCCACAAGAATGGATCCTCTGGATAATCAAGGGTGGTAACTTAACTCTCTAATAAAGCCAAACAAAATCTCTGGACATCCATATTTAATTTTGTTACATGTATGTACACCTATTTATACAAAGTCTTGACAATGACCTATTCATATTCCACAGTCATGGACAGCCCCAGGAAGCTGTATTCTGCCAGTCATCACCATGGCTGAGTCCTGGCGGTGAGGAATCTAGTCAGAACAAAGCAGCTTCTTGCACATTCATTCTGGTAGAATGATCACACAGTATCTATATTGCTTGACACTTGAAATGTTTTGTTCAAATGGGCACCATGGACGCAAGATGGACTATATGTCCAAATGGATCACACGTAAAGCTGTATCAGGTTGAAATGGATCACATGTAGAGCTGTATCAGGTTGAGATGGATCACATGGAGAGCTGCATCAGGTTGAGATGGATTACATGTAGAGCTGTATCAGGTTGAGATGCATCATATGTAGAGCTGTGTCAGGTTGAGATGGATCACATGTAGAGCTGTGTCAGGTTGAGATGGATCATTTGAACAGCTGAATCATATGTTGAGGTGTATTGTGCTAAGATGGACCCTGTTTCAAAATGGATCATGTGTAGAGTCTGATCGTGGCGTCTGCTCCACTAGAGAACACCCAGGGCTGTGTGGGGTGGAACTCACAGTCCAATACACTTAGTCCACCAGTAGTCACATGACCCTTCAACACTTTCACGGGCACTATCAGGGGATTCTGCAGCAGGTCACTGAAACAGTAGGTCAAACATCTGACATCCAGGCTGAGTATCATACTACACAGTAAATGAACAGGCTGGCCGCTCCGAACAGCATCAGCACTATAACTACACTCTTGGTATTTAGTTCTATGACCATGATGACAGATGCGATGCAACCCAATACTCATGGTACTCAGTGATAAGCGAATAAGGTAACGAACTACTTTTATTAAGCTCCACAGATTCAAGAAACAGTTTTATTTATTTTTTAAATCACTCAAAGGTAGCTAGGGTGGCTGGATTATGATGAATGCATGGTAAAGAAATGTGTCATGATTACGGACTATCCTCAAGTTTCATAACAAGGATCATAATCAGAGTCTCCTTGGTGATTGTATATGAATATATATCCTCATTTCTATTTGAGGATAGTCCTTATCTCTTACTAGAGTGTAATCAGAGGCTACTTGGTTATTGTATATGAATGTATATCCTCATTATATTGTCAGACACATTCCTAGATTTGCATAAATGTCCCACACAAAACGTAGAGATGGCCCACTCCCAAGTACTTACTTGTAGACCATTCCATGACAGACGATGACAGACCCATCATCAGAGGCGGAGGCAAACAGCGGGTACTTCCTATGGTAACACACCTGGCGGATGGCCTTCTTGTGATGTCTGGAAGGGGAAATATATTGTAACAGTTCAGGACTTACATTTCTAACCATGCTGAGTATTTCAATCTTAATCTAACCATTGTCCAAGCAACAGAGCAATCCTATCCAAACCACATCATACTTGAGCTAAACGAAGATCTGACCAATCAGAGCATCACATAGCAGGATGGATAGGGCAGTGTGCTTTCTAATCATTAATCCTTTTGGTAACAAAGTGTACTCTAAGCAGCATTCATCATTCTCTCTCTCTTAATTGGATAAACATTTGAAACAGAATAAACTTTCCACAGCCCTTGTGAAATAGAATTACACTGTTTCAAAACATAGTACCATCAAGCATGGGAAGACTGACCTGAGAGTGTTGTAGGGTTTTGTGGAAAGGTCAAGGTCAAACCAACTCAACCTACAGTCGTAGCTGCCGACTATCACATTGTCCCCTGTAACAAAAATAGGATGTGAAAGGACAGTCATCATTCATCAATAGTCATGTAAATAATGACGTCTGGACCGTACTATCCAGTGATTGATGGTGTCTGGGTATGATAAACCAATGTCCATCGAATACATCAGCAAGTACAGGTTCACATGGCTGCTGGAGATGTATTCCCCATGGTGGGGAGACTTACCGCCAAACCTTGCTTGGATTAACATTGTTATGAAGAAATGCTTTCAGAGACCACATCAAAATACATTTTCAAGAAAATCCAACTAATGACCTATAAATGCCATCATAAATATTCAATCAAATTAGACTTTCTTTCCCTACATGTTGTGAGTGGTAAGGTGAGTGGTTCTGTCCCACTAAGCAGTGTGATTTAATCCAAACAAACCCAAATAAAAATCATTACTCACTGGGTATGTAAAGCAGAAAACTGAGAAAGTTATAAGGAGCTTTGTGAAGTCCCTACCTCCAGCATGTACGGCCATACTTGACACCCATTTACAGTTGGTCATCAGCTTCTTGGTGAGTTCCTGCTTCAGGAGATTGTACACACGACGTAGCGCTGGGTCTGTCACAACATCAGAACATCGCTTAACATCTAACTCAATAATGTTTCTGTTAGGTCACGGTTAGTCATCTTCATATCACTGGACAGCCCAAAAGACAGACAGACAGCATAGTTGTTCCATTTCATTTTCCTATTTTATTGTCTAGTTTTTTTAAATGTTTCAACTCATCTGTTGACGTCCATAAACCGGTATAAATAAGCCTGACAACCTGCATGTTAGATGTGTGAAGATGCGTGTTACTTACAGCAACAAACAGATACGGACGTAAAGGATGGAAGACGACTCGCTGCACCAAACCTTTAGACTTGGTAAATGGATTCTGCAAAAGAGAAGACAATGATTAGGCTGACTGGTCGCACACTCACATACCTATGACCTGCTAAGTTACCTACTACCACTTACCTGTGACTAACTCTACCCCGTACCTGTGACTAACTTTACCCCGTACCTGTGACCAACTCTACCACTTACCTGTGACTAACTCTACCACTTACCTGTGACTAACTCTACCCCCTACCTGTGACTAACTCTACCACTTACCTGTGACTAACTCTACCCCGTACCTGTTACTAACTCTACCCCGTACCTGTTACTAGCTCTACCCCGTACCTGTTACTAACTCTACCCCGTACCTGTGACTAACTCTACCTCGTACCTGTGACTAACTCTACCTATGATTAACTCTACCCTGTACCTGTGACTAACTCTACCCCGTACCTGTTACTAACTCTACCTTCGTACCTGTGACTAACTCTACCACTTACCTGTGACTAACTCTACCCTGTACCTGTTACTAACTCTACCCCGTACCTGTTACTAACTCTACCCAGTACCTGTGACTAACTCTACCTCGTACCTGTGACTAACTCTACCCCGTACCTGTGACTAACTCTACCACTTACCTGTGACTAACTCTACCACGTACCTGTGACCTCCTCTTGGACAGCTGGTGAATGAGGACTGACATGCTGTCTCCCTTTGGCATCACAGTGGCGAGGTAATCTCCCTTGCCGTGCCATGTCACATACGACACTTCCTGTCACCAACAGAAACAACAATTAGCCAATCAATCAACTTCCATCTGTGATCAGTGAAAATGGCTTAATGCCTCTGTTAGCAATTTTCAAGCAATATCAAGGTCAATCAAACATGACCTGTAAAACTGAGATTTAGAAGGCTCTGTACTGACTGGCTGATGGTTTACATGCGACTTTCAAGGGAGGTATGGTATCGAAGTAAAGTGAGTGAGTGAGTAATATTGCTGGAAGCCAATGCAGATCTCAGACAATTCCCAATTTGGTAAAACCTGTGGAACAAGGGTATGTTGCCTTCAAACATTGAAACACAATGCAAATGAACCAGGGTTGGTACAAATGAACAAAGACTTCTGTTGTCCCAAGGGACCCAACTCGGAGTTGCATCCCTTTGATGACAGAGTCAGTCAAAGGTGGTCCCTGCAGTAAAAGATCTGATATTATATTGTTCTTCACCCTACCTTTGGATGTTTTATCCTGAGTCGGAAGCCGTTCTGATGATCTTTGCCTGTACACACCTCCCAATCCACTGGAACCTTCTTGCCTATGGCAAAGCGCAATCAATGAACACAAGTACAGCAATCAATGAACACAAGTACAGCAATCAATGAACACCTGTACAACAATTAACGGACACCTGTACAGCAATCAATTGACACCTGTATAGCAATTGATTAACACCTGCAAAGGAATTCCAAGGGGTTGACTGACACAGATTGTGGACCAATCACAGGGGATCCATTCTGATATGGACTATCCATGGGGGTGGACCAGCACAGATCTCTGGGGACCCATTCTAACCCTGACTATCCCTGGGGGTGGACCATCACAGATATCTGGGGACCCATTCTGACCCTGACTATCCATGGGGGTGGACCAGCACAGATCTCTGGGGACCCATTCTAACCCTGACTATCCCTGGCGGTGGACCAGCACAGATCTCTGGGGACCCATTCTGACCCGGACGATCTCTCGGGGTGGACCAGCACAGATCTCTGGGGACCCATTCCGACCCTGACTATCTCTGGGGGTGGACCAGCACAGATCTCTGGGGACACATTCTGACCCTGACTATCTCTGGGGGTGGACCAGCACAAATCTCTGGGGACACATTCTGACCCTGACTATCTCTGGGGGTGGACCAGCACAGATCTCTGGGGACACATTCTGACCCTGACTATCCCCGGGGTGGACCTGCACAGATCTCTGGGGACACATTCTGACCCTGACTATCCCCAGGGTGGACCAGCACAGATCATTCACGCTCAGTGAGGAGACAAGAGGGTCTGTTTACCTGCTGATTCCTCGTTGGGGGGCTGGAAGGCTGATATGACTATGTCAGTGTTGGACACCATCAGCTTGTCCCCCAAGCCTGGGTTCACCACAACCACGCTCTTCTCTCTGTAAGCAGGGTTTTGTGACCATGGTAACGAATATGCTATAGATATTGTCAATAAATGACCTTAGTCAACACACAACATAAATGACAGTCAATGACTTCCATGAACACCTTGAATTCATGGCCACTATAAATGACAACTTAATTATTCACACAATTAGCGTGAATGGTTTTACGCTGCCCAGCTACAGGTATACTCACTGCTAATGATCCCATAATTTAGACATGCTCGTGAAAAATAGAAAATAAAAATAAAAATAAAAATGTGATACTTCAAAATAATGAGACTAGAATGAACTTGGCCATCATCAGTGTTCAGGTGTTAGATAATTCACCTTCCAGGTAAAACTAACTGGTAACACTGACAGGTAAATATGACAGGTAAGTATGACATGATATAATGTGTTCCACGAGGGTTTACTTACAGGACAACAGCGACCAGACAGAGAGCAGGGTTGGGGTTCCAGGCGAGACTCTTCACTTTCTCCCCCATATGCAACGTCTTCATACACCTGCCAGTCGCAACCTCCCACAACCGCACCGTCGCATCATCACATCCTGCAGCAGCGGAAGAAGAAGGTGACAACTTCAGGTACAACATAGTCAAGTGAGTGAGTGAGTGAGTTTAGTTTTACGCCACACTCAGCAATATTCCAGCTATATGGCGGCTGTCTGTAAATAATCGTGTCTGGACCAGACAATCCAGTGATCAACAGCATGGGCATCGATCTGTGCAATTGGGAACCGATGACATGTGTCAACCAAGTCAGCGAGCCTGACCACCCGATTCCGTTAGTTGCCTCTTACGACAAGCATGGGTTACTGAAGGTTCATTCTAACCCGGACCTTCACGGGTGACATAGTCAAGTAGCAATAAAGGGTGACAAAATAGGGTACAACATAGTAACAGGTAACAACATAGTCCAGTATTTGCACAGGTTTTGGCAATACTGATACATGCAGATAGAATGATTTAGGTGGTGTGGACAGATAGTTTCACAATGGCTGATGTAGACTTAGGTAAGCTCATACAGGTAGACAATGGAAGATGGTGATATAGGTGGATACTCAGGTAGACAAAGATAGATGTAGACTTAGGTAAGCTCATACAGGTAGACAATGGAAGATGGTGATATAGGTGGATACTCAGGTAGACAAAGATAGATGTAGACTTAGGTAAGCTCATACAGGTTGACAATGGAAGATGGTGATATAGGTGGATACTCAGGTAGACAAAGATAGATGTAGACTTAGGTAAGCTCATACAGGTAGACAATGGAAGATGGTGATATAGGTGGATACTCAGGTAGACAAAGGTAGATGTAGACTTAGGTAAGCTCATACAGGTAGACAATGGAAGATGGTGATATAGGTGGATACTCAGGTAGACAAAGATAGATGTAGACTTAGGTAAGCTCATACAGGTAGACAATGGAAGATGGTGATATAGGTGGATACTCAGGTAGACAAAGATAGATGTAGACTTAGGTAAGCTCATACAGGTAGACAATGGAAGATGGTGATATAGGTGGATACTCAGGTAGACAAAGATAGATGTAGACTTAGGTAAGCTCATACAGGTAGACAATGGAAGATGGTGATATAGGTGGATACTCAGGTAGACAAAGGTAGATGTAGACTTAGGTAAGCTCATACAGGTAGACAATGGAAGATGGTGATATAGGTGGATACTCAGGTAGACAAAGGTAGATGTAGACTTAGGTAAGCTCATACAGGTAGACAATGGAAGATGGTGATATAGGTGGATACTCAGGTAGACAAAGATAGATGTAGACTTAGGTAAGCTCATACAGGTAGACAATGGAAGATGGTGATATAGGTGGATACTCAGGTAGACAAAGGTAGATGTAGACTTAGGTAAGCTCATACAGGTTGACAATGGAAGATGGTGATATAGGTGGATACTCAGGTAGACAAAGGTAGATGTAGACTTAGGTAAGCTCATACAGGTAGACAATGGAAGATGGTGATATAGGTGGATACTCAGGTAGACAAAGGTAGATGTAGACTTAGGTAAGCTCATACAGGTTGACAATGGAAGATGGTGATATAGGTGGATACTCAGGTAGACAAAGGTAGATGTAGACTTAGGTAAGCTCATACAGGTAGACAATGGAAGATGGTGATATAGGTGGATACTCAGGTAGACAAAGGTAGATGTAGACTTAGGTAAGCTCATACAGGTTGACAATGGAAGATGGTGATATAGGTGGATACTCAGGTAGACAAAGATAGATGTAGACTTAGGTAAGCTCATACAGGTAGACAATGGAAGATGGTGATATAGGTGGATACTCAGGTAGACAATGGTAGATGTAGACTTAGGTAAGCTCATACAGGTAGACAATGGAAGATGGTGATATAGGTGGATACTCAGGTAGACAAAGATAGATGTAGACTTAGGTAAGCTCATACAGGTTGACAATGGAAGATGGTGATATAGGTGGATACTCAGGTAGACAAAGGTAGATGTAGACTTGGGTAAGCTCATACAGGTAGACAATGGAAGATGGTGATATAGGTGGATACTCAGGTAGACAAAGGTAGATGTAGACTTAGGTAAGCTCATACAGGTAGACAATGGAAGATGGTGATATAGGTGGATACTCAGGTACACAAAGGTAGATGTAGATTTAGGTAGATACACAGGTAGACAATGAAAGATGGAGGTCACTACACACCTGATGCCAGCCACTGACCGCTTGGTTCTACGGAGATGCACCTTACAATACCCTCGTGTCCCTTGTAGATCTGTAGAGACACAAATAACAACACTTGTACACACAGATTTCCCACAGGTACCTGATTGTCAGGCTCGTTAACTAATAACTGATCAATCAACCAAGTTATTACTGTCCACTTACTTATTATATTTCAATACATTTTTGTTATGCATGGAAACATAAAAATTAAAATGGCAAGCACACATTATGTAAACGAACTGGTTTACATTCACAGCTCGAAAAACACAAAAGTATTGAAAACAGTTCTTACATAACAAAGATGAAATGTCTGCCTGAAAAGCACCAAAGCATTAACTGTTTTCTAAACAAGTGCTTACGAATATTCACCTTTGGAGTTCTAACAGCAATCCTATGTATCTATTGGTTCCACTATGAGACTTGCAGTTAGTGAGTGAGTGAATTCTGTTTAACTTTGACCAGTGATTTCAGTTAAAACTCCGAGAGTCAGCTTGATGTGGGAGGCAATATATACCTTGGAGACAATGCAGTACTTATGTTTGACCTCAATGTCTGACAACATCAGTTTCAGAAGGTTGTACTTACCATGGACTGTGTAGTGGGGAATGGCTGCAGTTCTTTCGGTTTGGGAAGTTTGGGGATCAGGTCTTCAGGGTTTACATTCATCTGAAAATACAACAAAATCCTTGTACTACCTCGAATTAGAAAAGATTTAAAATCTAGTATACACTCAACAAATAAACACCAACAAGACCAACAGCAGCTCCATGGAAACCCATGTGGGGGAAGGGAGGTGGAAACCCATGTGAGGAAGGGGAGCTGGAAACCCATGTGAGGAAGGGGAGCTGGAAACCCATGTGAGGAAGGGGAGGTGGAAATCCATGTGAGGAAGGGGAGCTGGAAACCCATGTGAGGAAGGGGAGGTGGAAATCCATGTGGGGAAGGGGAGCTGGAAACCCATGTGAGGAAGGAGAGCTGCAAACCCATGTGGTGTAGGGGAGCTGGAAACCCATGCAGGGGAGTGGAGCTGGAAACCCAAGCAGGGGAGGGGAGGTGGAAACCCATGCGGAGGAGGAAGGCTGGAAACCCATGTGGGGGAGGGGAGCTGGAAATCCATGTGGGGAAGGGGAGGTGGAAATCCATGTGGGGAAGGGGAGCTGGAAACCCATGCAGGGGAGGGGAGGTAGAAACCAATGTCGGGAAGGGGAGGTGGAAATCCATGTGGGGAAGGGGAGCTGGAAACCCATGCAGGGGATGGGAGCTGGAAACCCATGTGGGGGAGGGGAGCTGGAAACCCATGCAGGGGGTGGAGCTGGAAACCCATGCAGGGGAGGGAGGTGGTGTGGGAGGAGGAGGCTGGAAACCCATGTGGGGAGGGAGCTGGAAACCCATGTGGGGAAGTGGAAACCAATGGTAGAAACCAATGTGGGAAACCCATGTGGGAAGGGAGCTGGAAACCCATGTGAGGAAGGAGAGGAGTGTGGAAACCCCAGGGGATGGAGCTGGAAACCCAAGCAGGAGGGAGGTGGAAACCAGGGGAGGGAGGTGGAACCCATGGGAGAGGAGCTGGAAACCCATGTGGGGAGGGAGGAATCCATGTGGGGAAGGAGCTGGAATCCATGTGGGGAAGGAGGGAGCTGGAAACCCATGTGGGAGGAGGAGGTGGAGGCTGGGAAACCCATGTGCATATGGGGGAAGGGACCCAACCCATGGGGAGAGGGGTGGAAACCCATGTGGGGAGGTGGGAGGAGCTGGAAACCCATGTGGGGAAGGGGAGCTGGAAATGTGGAAACCCATGAAACCATGTGGGGAAGGAGGAGCTGGAAACCCATGCGGGGAGGGAGGTGGAAACCATGTGGGGAGGGGAGCTGGAAACCCATGGAAGGGGAGAAACCCATGCAGGTGGAACATGTGGGGGAAGGGAGCTGGAAACCCATGTGGGGAAGGGAGGAAAGCATGTGGGAAGGAGGAGCTGGAACCCATGCAGGTGGGAGGGAGGTGGAAACCCATGTGGGGAAGGGGGCTGAAATGTGGGAGGAGCTGGAAACCCATGTGGGGAAGGGAGGGGAGGGAGCTGGAAACCCATGGGAAGGGGAAGGGGAGCTGGGGAAGGGGAGCTGATGTGGGTGGGGCTGAAACCCATGCGAGGGGAAGGGGCTGGAAAGGGGAAGGAGCTAGAAGGTGAGGTGAGGTGAATGGGTTTAACGTCATGCTTGAGAATATGTGATCATATGCATGCATGTGTATGTATGTGTATGTGGCTGCTTGTACTAGCCCAGACTGAAGCTGGTTTTATAGTGCTAGCCCACTGAGATACCATGCCGCAGTGAAGCATGAATACCCCACTCAGACACATTATACTGACCCCGAGCCGACCAGTCCTTGTTGTACCCATTAATGCCGAGCGCCAGGCAGGGACCAACAAGTACCATACTTAAACGTCTTTTGGTAGACGCGGTCAGGGATCGAACCCACGACCTTCCGCTTTCCGGGCAGACGCTCTAACCACTACACCAAGGAGGCGGTCAGGGAGCTAGAAACCCATGTGGGGGAGGGGAGCTGGAAACCCATGCGGGGAAGGGGAGCTGGAAACCCATGCGGGGAAGGGGAGCTGGAAACCCATGTGGGGAAGGGAGCTAGAAACCCATGTTGGGGAGGGGAGGTAGAAACCTGGGGAAGGGGAGCTGGGAAAGCCATGTGGGGAAGGGGCTGGAAACCCATGGGGAGGGAGCTGGGAAACCCCATCTTGCGGGGGAAGGGAGGGGAAACCCATGTGGGGGAGGGAGCTGGAAACCCATGTGGGGAGGGGAGCTGGAAACCCATGTTTGGAAGGGAGGTGAAACCCATGTGGGGAAGGGGAGCTGAAACCCATGTGGGGAAGGGAGCTGGAGGCTGAGGTGGAAACCCATGGGGGGGGAGCTGGAAACCCACACAAGGGAGGGAGAAACCCATGTGGGGGAGGAGCTGCAAACCCCACAAGGGAGGGAGCTGGAAACCCATGTGGGAAGGGAGCTAGAAACCCATGTGGGGAGGGAGCTGGAAACCCAAGGGGAGGGGGAGCTGGAAACCCATGTGGGAGGGAGCTGCAAACCCATGGGGGGGAGGGAAACTGGAAACCATGTGGGGAAGGAGCTGGAAACCCCAAAAGGGAGGGGAGCTGGAAACCCATGTGGGAAGGGGCTGGAAACCCCACAAGGGAGGAGCTGGAAACCCCAATGGGGAGGGGAGCTGGAAACCCATGTGGGAGGGAGCTGGGAACCCATGTGGGGAGGGAGCTGGAACCCCACAAGGGGAGGAGCTGGAAACCCCATGTGGGAGGGAGCTGGAAAACCCATGTGGGGAGAAGGGGAGCTGGGAACCATGTGGGGAGGGGAGCTGGAAACCCCACAAGGGAGGGAGCTGGAAACCCCAAAAGGGAGGGGAGCTGGAAACCCATGTGGGGGAGGGGAGCTGCAAACCCCAGAAGGGAGGAGGTGGAAACACATGTGGGGAGGGAGCTGGAACCCCACAAGGGGAGGGAGGTGGAAACCCATGTGGGGAGGAGCTGGAAACCCATGGGAGGGAGGTGGAAACCCATGTGGGGAGGGAGCTGAAACCCCACAAGGGAGGGAAACCCCAAAGGGAGGGAGCTGGAAACCCATGTGGGGAGAGGAGAGGCAAACCCCAAAAGGGAGGGAGCTGGAAACACATGTGGGAGGGAGCTGGAACCCACAAGGGAGGGAGCTAGAAACCCATGTGGGGAGGGAGCTGCAAAACCCCAAAAGGGAGGAGCTGGGAACCCATGTGGGGAGGGGAGGAAACCCAAGTGGGGAGGGGAGCTGGAATCCCCCAAGGGAGGAGCTGGAAACCCATGTGGGGGAGGGAGCTAGAAACCCATGGGAGGGAGCTGCAAACCCATGTGGGGAGGGGAGTTGCAAACCCATGTGGGAGGGGAGCTGGAAACCCATGGGGAAGGAGCTGGAAACCCCAAAAGGGAGGGAGCTGGAAACCCATGTGGGGAGGGAACTGGAAACCCATGTGGGAGGGAGCTGGAAACCCATGTGGGGGAGGGGAGCTGGAAACCCATGTGGGGAGGGAGCTGGAAACCCCAAAAGGGAGGGAGCTGGGAACCCATGTGGGGAAGGGAGCTAGAAACCCATGTGGGGGGAGGAGCTGGAAACCCCACAAGGGAGAGGGAGCTGGAAACCCATGTGGGAGAGGAGCTGCAAACCCCACAAGGGGAGGAACTGGAAACCCATGGGGAGGGAGCTGGAAACCCCACAAGGGAGGGAGCTAGAAACCCATGTGGGGAGGGGAGCTGGAAACCCCACAAGGGAGGAGCTAGAAACCCATGTTGGGGAGGGGAGCTAGAAACCCATGTGGGGAGGGAGCTGGAAACCCATGTGGGGAGGGAGCTGGAAACCCCACAAGGGAGGGAGCTGGAAACACATGTGGGGAGGGGAGCTGGAAACCCCACAAGGGGAGGCTTGAGGTGGAAACCCATGTGGGGAGGGGAGCTGGAAACCCCACAAGGGAGGCGAGGTGGAAACCCATGTGGGGGAGGGGAGCTGCAAACCCCAAAAGGGAGGGGAGCTGGAGACACATGTGGGGGAGGGGAGCTGGAAACCCCACAAGGGAGGGGAGCTGGGAACCCATGTGGGGGAGGGGAGCTAGAAACCCATGTGGGGAGGGGAGCTGGAAACCCATGTGGGGGAGGGAGCTGGAAACCCATGTGGGGGAGGGGAGCTGCAAACCCCACAAGGGAGGGGAACTGGAAACCCATGTGGGGGAGGGAGCTGGAAACCCCACAAGGGAGGGAGCTAGAAACCCATGTGGGGAGGGAGCTGCAAACCCCAAAAGGGAGGGGGAGCTGGAAACCCATGTGGGGAGGGAGCTAGAAACCCATGTGGGGAGGGAGCTGGAAACCCATGTGGGGAGGGGAGCTGGAAACCCCACAAGGGAGAGGGAACTGGAAACCCCACAAGGGAGGCGAGCTGGAAACCCATGTGGGGGAAGGGAGCTGGAAACCCCACAAGGGAGGCGAGCTGGAAACCGATGTGGGGGAGGGGAGCTGGAAACCCATGCGGGGTAGGGGAGGTGGAAATCCATGCGGGGGAGGGGAGCTGGAAACCCATGAGGGGAGGGGAGCTGGAAACCCATGTGGGGGAGGGGAACTACACACAAAGTAGCAATGTTGGGGATCAAGCCTTGCCCACAGCCCTTATCAATGATCGAGCAACATAGAGGGTACAAAACCTGCTGATGATAACACAACCAAGATGAACTCACCCTGATCTTCTTCTGGCGCGGACACAGGTACAGATCCAGGCATCGCTCGAACCTTTCCTGGATGAACTTGGAGTAGCCAGGGACCAGTCGCAGGGAAGAATACTTTTGGGGCAAAAATTTTAATCTTCTATCTTCTGGTTCCTGCTCTTTCCATTTTTTCTCCTGAAACATGATAGGGTTGACAGAAACCATCCTATAACCATGGTAACACTTTGACAGGAACCATCCTACAACCATGATAACAGGTTGACAGAAACCATCTTATAAGCATGGTAACAGGTTGACAGAAACCATCCTATAACCATGGTAACAAGTTGACAGAAGCCATCCTATAACCATGGTAACGGGTCGACAGAAACCATCCTACAACCATGGTAACGGGTCGACAGAAACCACATTATGACCATGGTAACAAGTTGACAGAAACCATCCTATAACCATGGTAACAAGTTGACAGAAACCATCCTATATCCATGGTAACAGGTTGACAGAAACAATCCTATAACCATGGTAACAGGTTGACAGAAACCATACTATATCCATGGTAACAGGTCAAGTAGTGATGAAGAGATTTAACGTGGTTTACACTAGCTACTTAATGGTCTGGTGACCACACTGCTTTCACTTTCATCAGTCCTACAAGTTGATATCAATTCAATAATCGGTCCCGGAAATGGTTAGCTCAACAGACTTTCTGAAATTAAAGTATAAAATTGTACAATGCCATACATTTAACCAGATCGGCCATCCAGCTCTGTTTGTCCAAAATGATCACATCACTGGTAGTTTTCAGAAAAAGGTAATAAAATTTCCATAACATACAATGATCTACCCCACCACGACACTAAATGTCCTCCTCACCTCTTCCTCCATCAGCAGGTATTCTGAGGGTGGGTTGTACGACTCCTCATGGCCAGGCAGGGACATCTTGGGGGCAGGGATGTGCTGTCGGTACCGTCTCGTAATCTCAGGCTGTAGCAATCATCGTACCATTTAACCATCTCATCATGGAACGATTTCATACAATCATACAATCCTCTCATGACATACCATCCTCTAAGCATGTCCTGCAACACTCTCCTACCCCTCCCATCACACCATTCACCCCTCCCATCACACCATTCACCCCTCCCATCACACCATCCACCCCTCACGTCACTTCATCCACCCCTCCCATCATACCATTCATCCCTCCCATCACTTCATTCACCCCTCCCATCACCCCTCCCATCACACCATTCACCCCTCCCATCACACCATCCATCACATCAATCATTCATCCCTCCCATCACACCATTCACCCCTCCAATCACACCATTCACCCCTCCCATCACACCATCCATCACATCATTCATCTCTCCCATCACACCATTCACCCCTCCCATCACACCATCCATCACATCATTTATCCCTCTCATCACACCATTCATCCCTCCCATCATACCATTCACCCCTCCCATCACACCATTCATCCCTCCCATCATACCATTCATCCCTCCCATCATACCATTCATCCTCTCCCAACACACCATCCATCACATCATTCATCCCTCCCATCACACCATTCACCCCTCCCATCACACCATTCACCCCTCCCATCACACCATTCACCCTCCCATCACATCATTCATCCCTCCCATCACACCATTCACCCTCTCCCATCACATCATTCACCCTCTCCCATCACACCATTCGCCACTCCTATCACACCATCCATCACATCATTCATCCCTCCCATCATACCATTCATCCCTCCCATCACACCATTCACCCCTCCCATCATACCATTCACCCCTCCCATCACATCATTAACTCACTCATCACATCATTCATCCCTCCAATCACATCATTCACCCACTCATCACATCATTCACCCCTCTTATCACACCATTCACCCCTCCCATCACACCATTCACCCCTCCCATCACACCATTCGCCACTCCCATCACACCATCCATCACATCATTCATCCCTCCCATCATACCATTCATCCCTCCCATCACACCATTCACCCTCCCATCATACCATTCACCCCTCCCATCACATCATTAACTAACTCACTCATCACATCATTCATCCCTCCAATCACATCATTCACCCACTCATCACATCATTCACCCCTCTTATCACACCATTCACCCCTCCCATCATACCATTCACCCCTCCCATCACATCATTAACTCACTCATCACATCATTCATCCCTCCAATCACATCATTCACCCACTCATCACATCATTCACCCCTCTTATCACACCATTCACCCCTCCCATCACACCATTCACCCCTCCCATCACACCACTCACCCCTTCCATCATACCATTCAACCCTCCCATCACCCCATTAACCCCTCTTGTCAGCATGTCCTGCAACACTCTCCTACCCCTCCCATCATACCATTCGCCCTCCAATTACACAATTTAACCCTCCCATCACCCCATTCACCCCTCCCATCACCCCATTCATCCCTCTTATCAGCATGTCCTGCAACACTCTCCTACCCCTCCCATCATACCATTCACCCTCCCATCACACCATTCACCCCTCCCATCACATCATTCACCCCTCCCATCACACCATTCACCCCTCCCATCACACCATACAACATTCCTGTCAGACCATCACAACAATTAGTATATTACACAGGGATGCTTCCTCTTCATCATTTGTTTATATCTAGTGAGAATTACATAAAGGATGCTGTACCTTTAATTCTAAAGAGTAGCATATAAAGTATACTGTTTCCTGTTTCCAGCAAGTAGTATATTTATCCAAGTGAGTAGTATATATATACAAAGATGATGTTCCCTTTTTTCTAGTGAGCAGTATATACAAGATGGCTTCACCTCTTCATCATCCTTCCATATGTTGAAGTAATTTGGGTGCTCTTCCTCTGGTTCCTCCTGTTCTTCCTCATCACTGTCAGGGACCTTTGGTGGCTTCATCCAACCCATCTTGATAGCATGGACCATCTGACCTACCTGCACATACATCGCATACATCAGACACTGTAATCAGTCACAGCAAGAGACAGTTAATCTAACTAGACTGCAGACTGTACGTACATCATGTTGACCATAAGGTTTGCCAGCATACCAACTATACTAAATGAAGGTTCAGTGGCAAATGGAGTGTTTACTTTAATGACTTTAGCAAGCAAAGACTAATGAAGACTTCTGACAACCTACTTTCAACTTCTCCCACTTGGATGGTATAAAGCTTCTCTTCTGTGCTGGATGGGCAGTCACAGGGTGGATCATCGTCTCGTTGGTAAAGTACTCAATCCATGGCTGCAATATCAACAAGATTCCCGTATTGTTACAACATATATCTCCCCACCTGGAACATGGTCTCACACCCCATGGGATTACAACATATATCCCCATGGGATTGGTCTCAACCCCATATATATCTCCCCACCTGGAACATGGTCTCAGACCCCATGGGATTACAACATATATCTCCCCACCTGGAACATGGTCTCACACCCCATGGGATTACAACATATATCTCCCCACCTGGAACATGGTCTCACACCCCATGGGATTACAACATATATCTCCCCACCTGGAACATGGTCTCACACCCCATGGGATTACAACATATATCTCCCCACCTGGAACATGGTCTCACACCCCATGGGATTACAACATATATCTCCCCACCTGGAACATGGTCTCACACCCCATGGGATTACAACATATATCTCCCCACCTGGAACATGGTCTCACACCCCATGGGATTACAACATATATCTCCCTACCTGGAACATGGTCTCACACCCCATGGGATTACAACATATATCTCCCCACCTGAACATGGTCTCACACCCCATGGGATTACAACATATATCTCCCTCACCTGGAACCCCACCTGGAACATGGTCTCACACACCCCATGGGATTACAACATATATCTCCCCACCTGGAACATGGTCTCACACCCCATGGGATTACAACATATATCTCCCCACCTGGAACATGGTCTCACACCCCATGGGATTACCCCATGGGAACATATATCTCCCCACCTGGAACATGGTCTCAGACCCCATAGGTTTACAACATATATCTTCCCACCTGGAACATGGTCTCAGACCCCATGGGATTGCGACTCCTCTGTATATTGTTGATCAGCTCTAGATCCTCCTTGCTCAACACAACATTCTGCCCTGTCAGCTTGTTGGTAACAGTCCTCCTGAAAATAACAATCACATCAGACATAATCACACCATTTCCACATCATAAACATATATTTTGTCTGCCGTAATGGTATGAACACAATTTATTGTTATCTGCTTTTATCTACTTTTAATGAAACATTCTGTTCTGAATAGCCTTTGTGGATTGTAACAGATTACAATGGATCTGGGGTCAGTCTCAGTGACCTTGTTAATTGAATTTCATCACATCTCAAATGAGTGAAGCAGTGCTAATGATCTAAATCACTAGTCAAGAACTGATTATTTACAGACTAGTATCAAACTGCGGAAGTAATGCTGAAAGTGGGATTTAACAAATAAATTAAATCAGAACATATCAAAACATGAAACTTTCACACAATGTTTACCATTTCATAGTAGCCTTCTTTAAAGCGGGCAGACATTTTAGATTTTGTTCAGGAATTCATCAAGTACATACCAGTAATTAGGATCGTCAACTTTGTTCAGGAATTCATCAAGTTCGTCTCCCTTTTTTGGCTTTATCAGACGCCGGCCTAAAATGTCATAGCCAATGTGTGGATATTCTCTGTACCATTCCATGGGGATATTGCCCACTGTGTTGCGTATATCCTACAACATAATTTTTCATGAAAATCAGTTGCAACTTTTAAACATGTTTTAGATGTAAACAGGTGGTAAACAGTCAAACCAGCAGCATCAGTTAAAGTCAAGATCAAATGGAAATTGGAATCAGAATAAGTTTACAAGAGGAAGGGGTCACATGGGTCCCCGCTGTCTAAGGTCCATCCTCAACTCACTAAACCACAACACATGGAGATGCATTTGTCCCAATGATGAGCTTAACAAGATGTCTGCCTACCTCTTCATCGGATGAATCATGTTCATATTCATTTGTTTGAACAACTTCACTGGTCGATGCGGTGCTGATGCCTGGGGACATCTCTGTCTCGTCTTTGGGAGTTTCTGCTACATCTTCGCTGCTTTCAGCTCCATCACTGTCTCCCTCCTCCTCTTCATCACTCTGAACACAAATAACAACATCATGGATGATGGTGTGCAACAAAGAGGCACTTGTTTCTCAAAATAGTGTACATAGTGTAATTGTGGCAACACTTAAAGAGATCCTTATTATTCAACAGACTTACATGGTGCACCTTGTGGAATATGTCTTCAGTACAAAAAGATAAAGCAATCAAATAACAATTTGTTCGAAAGCATACATATTCCAGATTTGATTATAAATTGGTTTCAGAACTGTTGACTTGCAAAATGGAGTCTGAAATATTGTCATCCGAAATGTCAAGACATTTTTCAAATTTGGTCATGGCACAGATACATTTTCAATCAATATTTGATAAAAATCTTTAATATGTCATTTGTCTCCAGGAAAATCCCTCTTTTACATTTCATTGCCTGCAACATTAATGTCTGCGAAAAAACCATGAAATACATATCTGAACATATAACAACCTGGACAATCAGGTAATTGATTTATTGGCAATGATGACCAAAATGATGCCTCCAACCGACCTTGTCCTCAGATTCTTCATCTGAAGTGTCCTCTTCATCCTCCAACCCAGAGTATACACTTTCTTCAGAGTCGGTGGTATCAGAGAACCCTTCATCATCTCGTCCATCGGCAACCTCATCAGAAGCATCTTTCTTCAGAAGGTCAGTCTGAATGTAAAGACAAAGCACGGCTGGGGGATGTGACGCTAGCTTCATTCAATGAGTAGGCCAAATGCACATGCATCTGTTATATCAGTTCTTAATAATGTATAAATGTGAAAGAAATGAAACTATTCACAACTTCAATTCATTATGAAAAACACAGTTTATGTACCTCCATTTTACCTTGACAAAACATACCTCTCAAAACAAGTAAGGGATACCCACAGCAGATTAGCTATAGTCTGAACAAGCTGAACAAGTCATATGTTTCATGAAGAAAACCTCTAGTGTTCTGTAACTTCGTTTGAGTGACAAAAACTGCAAACTCTTTGTCGTAAACACAGATTATATGAAAATTGAAAAGTATATAGATGTTATCTCACAATATATTAATTCACTTAGAATTGGCAGTTGAAATACTATTCTGCTTTTTGCCCCAAATATTTTACCACTCACTTTTATCATCATGTTTATATTCAACATGTTCAAACATATCATGGTACATTGAAACTCTAAAATTAATAACATTTGTTAACTGTATCATTAAATATATCAATATTTCTGTCTGTCAATAAGCGAGTCTGGACCTGACAATCCAGTGATCAACACATCTACTCAACTGGGAAACAATGACATGTGTCAACCCAGTCAGCGAGGCTGACCTCCGGATCCTGTTAGTTGCTTCTTATGAAAAGAATGGGTTGCTTGGGGTAGTGGATGTCAAATCAGTACTTTTAATCAGAGATTATTATAGTGATTTCAAATCAGTGATAAACCTGAATCAAGTATTTCAGCAAATATCATTGTTGAATAAAGGGTATACACGTGAAAAACGTAGAGTTGCAAAAACTTCAACGTGACGATTTAAACATGCTATTGAGCATTAAAACAACAATGCGTTTTGAAGTTACATTTGATCAAGTTCACACAACATTAACAAAACATGCTTTCGTTTCGGGTCTTAATTAAATGATCCGTATGTTTTCATCGCCAACATGACAATTATCATCATCGTCGTCGTCGACATCAGCCTCTGATTATGTCATTATGATCTTATTACCAGAAAACTATTGCAACACACACTTCCGCACCATGCTATAACATAGTCTTTGACTTCAGAAATAAACTAGCCGTAAAGATATTATATCGTCCTAATAAAGTCATCACAATTCAATCGCTGTATGTTTTCAAATATCTCAAGAATGTTCTCAATTTTACGTTCTGTTCCGCTACAGACGACCACGAAACTATCTATCAGTTGAAAAATACACACTGCTATATTTAACGTGGACAAGCACTGGTCAAAGATTTACGCTTACCGAGTTATCAATAATTTCCTCGGATGCAGCAACCACATGTTTTCGTTTGGTAGCCATATTATTGAACATGTGCACGTTGTAGTCAAAACTACAGGATAAACCCGGTAAACACTGTAGTGTTACATATCAGATTGACCAACAATAATCACCAAACATACCTAACGTAACTACTCACAAACAAGAGTTACATTTACGTATATTTGTACTACATTTTATTTTTATTTACTAAAATATATTTTTGAACATATTTATCAATTGTATGTACTTGCTGATGCTCTTCGCGCCTCCTAACAGAAGATCATCGATAGGGGAGGTAATTACTATTCATCGAAGCGGCCGTACAATACCACTATCAGACGTAAAAGTTGGTAGTGATTTGTTGTGCTTTCCGTTGGTATGGTGCTGTCTGTTTGATTTTTAACGCCGCACTCATCAATTGTGGCACCGTCTCTCACACACACGCACATATTGTACAGCTGTTACAAATAAACCTTAAAGATGAAATCGTGAACAGACAACCAGCATGCCAAACATTTGAGCTGTATCTTATAAACAAATATTCAAACATTTCTGATGTTACGATAAGGTCATAACTGAAACTTTACGACCTGGGGGAGGGGAGAAGGATCTGACTCAACGAAATAATTCATGTTCGTTCATAAATGTCAGAGCATCTTAACTCACTTTACAGGATCTATTTCAATCCATGTTTGTATTGTTACGTCATGCCCATTTCTGGTGTCCCCCGCCGTGATATTGCTGGACTATTGCTAAAAGCGGCGTAAAACTAAATTCACTCTTTCACTCTTACATCATGTTCGCATTTCAACTGACAAAAGAAAGGATACACTTGAAACTTAATTTGGCACCATAATTGGGAAATAACTGATGTCCGTATCAAGCACATCACTATCAACTAACCATTTGTGGCTTGTTTCATTTTATTCCATCATTGGTGTATATTTCTCTTTATCCTCAGTATAATTGCCTCTTTGTCCACACTTCACCATTTGGACAGCTCCTTTACAGTTCGGAGTAAACAGTGTTGCATTATAACTTGGACTTACCAGCTATACATTTGGTACACATACACCTAATGACATATATAGGGATATATAGCACACATTTCTGTACAGACAATGACACGGTATATATACCGCCAACGTTCGTAAATAAACAAGGCACATTTCAGCTTATTGTGACAAGAATCTATAAATAATATTTATTCAGGACCATCCGATCGGTTTGTTTGTTGTTTAACGCCACACATAGCAATATTCCAGCTATATGACGACAGGCTGTGAATAATTAGATCTGGACCAGATAATCCAGTGATACATATTGTGTGTAAGGTGGCTCAACCCAGTAACAGAGATTGGCCAACCCACCAGGTACTTATGTTCTAAGTTATTTTATACATGTTTTCGACTGGTATGAACCACACTGGTGAGAAGGCAACTCTGGCATTATCTTGGATTACAGCTGTCTACCATCCCCATGATTTACGACCACGTGTACAAGCACGACGTGGCATCGCCACTCGTTGTGCACAGGACAGAGTCGTGGACTGGTACAGTCCCATGTCCGGATAGCTAAACTCAAAACCCGTCCGTATGGAATTGTTCAATACGATTTCAAGGCAAAAGACGGGCAACGAATTCCACCTGACAACGATGAAGTTACAGATAGACCAGCCACACAGCACCACCGACACGCCTCACTGAACATAAACAACACGTGGCCTTGGATGTAGCACGTCAGTGTTGATAAATATACGCAGTACCGTGGGATATGTTGAACAACAGATAAGTATGTAGAAAGTTGATAAATATATACTGTCACAGATGGTGATAAATATATACTGTCACAGATGGTGATAAATATATACTGCCACAGATGGTAATAAATATACTCTCTCAAAAAAGAAACGCATACACGAATTTCAACTACAGTTTACTCCTTTTATTATGATAATTCGTTTGGATCCTAATAGCAAATGAAATACAAAGTAATTTCATATCGGAAATGTCACAGTATCACTGTTTCATAAGAACTCGAGAAAAGTCAGTAGTGGGTCACATATAGACGTTTGGCGGCGCTGAAGCCAGGACCTCGTGTGACCACTATTGGCGTTCAGAACTAGGTGACATCGTCTCGGCATGGAACGAAGTAGTCTCTGGATCTGATGTTGCTGCATTGTAGTCAGCTCATGCTTCCCTGCCGAATCTGCCCACCTGGGGGACGCAGGCGTCGGCAAAACGTTCATGACGGCGTCTGTACACCCGCATTCCAACGCGCCGTTCCAACAGAAATCTCGATTCATCGCTGAACCAGATTCGACGCAAATTTACCAGGGTCCAGGCCTGAACATTGGTGCATCATTGAACACGATGTTGTCCATGCTGCTGACGTAGCACGGGGTCAAAGTACGGTAATCTAGCTCTTAAATCGGCCTATCGCAGTCTGTTCCTGAGGGTCTGCGCAGATACTCTTCTCAATCCGGGTATTTGCCAAGCGGTACTGGTCACTGTAGCTGTTCGATGAGCAGACGGTGTAGCCGGATGTACCGATCTTGCGCTGCAGTGGTAACTCGAGGTCGCCCACTTCTAGGTCCATCTTCTACCGAGTTCTGCTGGTGGCGTCTCTGCCAGAGACGAGAAATCGTGCTCTAATGGACATTCATATAACGGGCAACTGTAAGCTGAGGCTGTCCTGCTTCCAGGAGATCTATAGCAACATATCGATTGGCGCGGCATTTTGAAAAAAAAACAAAAAAAACCCCCAAACCCAAACCCCTCCAAAATACAGTGAATAAACCAAAGACAGTGATCGATCTTTTGTACTTATCAATGACACGATGTGATCCACAAGTTTCACATGCACTGCACGTGCATTATGTGTCTATTATGTGACATTACATGCGTCTATTGAAATTCATGCTGTTACATACTGGTATTTGATGTGGGATGCTCTTGGATGTGATGTTTTAAGACAAAAACACCACAGGAATCAGAACCAAAACTAACGTGTCTGTAATAGCCTCTCTGTACCAGTAATTTGCTGCTGCATCAGAATGCCATTTTGGTTAGGCGTTTCTTTTTTCAGAGAGTATATATACTGTCAAAGAAGGTGATAAATAGACACTGTGCCAAATGGTAATGAATAAGATACTGTCTGAGATGGGGATGAATAGATACTGTAAGATGCTGAATGAGCGCGTGAGTGAGTTTAGTTTTACACCGTTTTAGCAATATTCCAGCAATATCACGGCGAGGGACACCAGAAATGGGCTTCACACATTGTACCAATGTGGGGAATCTAACTCGGGCCTTCGGCGTGACGAGCGAATGCTTTAACCACCGGGCTACCCCACCGTCCTGTAAGATGTTGAAAGCAGACACTGTGTAAGATGGAGATAAACAGACAATGTGTAAGATGGAGACAAGCAGACACTGTGTGAGATGGAGATAAACAGACACTGTGTGAGATGGAGATAAACAGACACTGTGTAAGATGGAGATAAACAGACACCGTGTAAGATGGAGATAAACAGACACTGTGTCAGATGGAGATAAACAGACAATGTGTAAGATGGAGATAAACAGACACTGTGTAAGATTGAGATAAACAGACACTGTAAGATGGAGATAAACAGACAATGTGTAACATGGAGATAAACAGACACTGTGTAAGATGGAGATAAACAGACACTGTGTAAGATGGAGATAAACAGACAATGTGTAAGATGGAGATAAACAGACACTGTAAGATGGAAATAAACAGACACTGTGTAAGATGGAGATATACAGATACTGTGTAAGATGGAGATAAACGGACACTGTAAGATGGAGATAAACAGACACCGTGTCAGATGGAGATAAACAGACAATGTGTAAGATGGAGATAAACAGACACTGTGTAAGATTGAGATAAACAGACACTGTAAGATGGAGATAAACAGACAATGTGTAACATAGAGATAAACAGACACTGTGTAAGATGGAGATAAACAGACACTGTGTAAGATGGAGATAAACAGACAATGTGTAAGATGGAGATAAACAGACACTGTAAGATGGAAATAAACAGACACTGTAAGATGGAGATAAACAGACACTGTGTAAGATGGAGATAAACAGACACTGTGTGAGATGGAGATAAACAGACACTGTATGAGATGGAGATAAACAGACACTGTGTAAGATGGAAATAAACAGACACTGTAAGATGGAGATAAACAGACACTGTGTAAGATGGAGATAAACAGACACTGTGTGAGATGGAGATAAACAGACACTGTGTAAGATGGAGATAAACAGACACTGTGTGAGATGGAGATAAACAAACAATGTGTCAGATGGAGATAAACAGACACTGTGTAAGATGGAGATAAACAGACACTGTAAGATGGAGATAAACAGACACTGTGTAAGATGGAGATAAACAGACACTGTGTAAGATGGAGATAAACAGACACTGTGTGAGATGGAGATAAACAGACACTGTGTGAGATGGAGATAAACAGACACTGTGTAAGATGGAGATAAACAGACAATGTGTAACATGGAGATAAACAGACACTGTGTAAGATGGAGATAAACAGACACTGTGTAAGATGGAGATAAACAGACAATGTGTAAGATGGAGATAAACAGACACTGTAAGATGGAAATAAACAGACACTGTAAGATGGAGATAAACAGACACTGTGTAAGATGGAGATAAACAGACACTGTGTGAGATGGAGATAAACAGACACTGTGTGAGATGGAGATAAACAGACACTGTGTTAGATGGAAATAAACAGACACTGTAAGATGGAGATAAACAGACACTGTGTAAGATGGAGATAAACAGACACTGTGTGAGATGGAGATAAACAGACACTGTGTAAGATGGAGATAAACAGACACTGTGTGAGATGGAGATAAACAAACAATGTGTCAGATGGAGATAAACAGACACTGTGTAAGATGGAGATAAACAGACACTGTAAGATGGAGATAAACAGACACTGTGTAAGATGGAGATAAACAGACACTGTGTAAGATGGAGATAAACAGACACTGTGTGAGATGGAGATAAACAGACAC